CTGTGTAATCCCTAAAACCCCTAAATGCATTTCAAACGTTTTTTTTTTCAGTAAAACTTTACATTTCATCTGTTATTTTCTCTACCTTATCTCAAAACAGGATCAGTCAATTCAACCGACTTCATAACCACCAAAAAAAAAATTAGAAATAAACCTAGATTACCTTTTTTCTTTCTACAATGACTTCAAATTGTACTATGAAACTACATTAATGTATCCAAAGTAGCTCTAAGTTCATAGCAGTATACATCTATTTATAATTAAATTTTATTGTTTTATTGCCCTTTGAACTATGTATAACTACTATCTGCACCATTATAAGTTGTAAATCACTCAGGGAACGTGCAGCTCACATTATGCTATTGAATTACATTACCCACAAGCTCCTCACGTGCATGCCTCATGAACCATTTTAATTATTATTATTACCTATATTACCTTATATAGTCTTAAATAACTTTAAAAGATCCATATTTTTAGATTTTAGTTACTTTTATAATAATAAAGAAAAAGTATGAAAAGCAAGAAATAAAACATTTACCCAATCTTCTTTTTTCTTTCTCTTGGGTTTTCGAAGAGAGTTAACCCTAATTTTTTATACTATAGATAGTAATGCACTTAATAATTTTTGTTAAATTAAATAATGCACCAAAGAATATAGACTAATAACATGCAAAAAGTAGACAAATTCCCTTACCTCTCAAAATTTTCCAGGCTTTCTAACTATGCAACAAGAGTTGTTACAAATTCATCCAAGCTAGTCGTTAACTTTCCCATGGGTACGTTATTCGTACTCTTAATGAAATTGACATTTAACATAATGTTATACAATAGGTCATTTGATAGATGAAAACCTTGACTTTCTATTGGTTATAGGTAATATATAATGAAATTTAAGAGAGAACTATCAACGAATTGTGAAAGAGAGGATGTGACATGTGGGCATGACAAGAGTGGTCTAATTTTCTATTTGATAGCTCTGTAACCAAACAATATTGAAGACTATAAAATTATGGTTTGTTTGAGCAATAAAGATTTTATAGAGAGTATCTTACATTTAATTTTGTACTTTTTCAAGGGGTGGTGGATGAAATAAGGATGATAACATGCTAAGAAAAAATGTGTCACGTGGGTCACACTAGTGGAAATTCAGGATTTTTTTAAATATTGCCTTGTAGAATTAAGAACTTAAAACTTGTATACTATTAAAATATGTATTATTTTATGCTATTCTAATTGGTATAACATGAACAAAAAGTAATTTAATAAAATTTTGAATGTAAGACACTAAAACCTGATGTCATGTGTAGTAAAGGATACCAGGGGTGATAGGATTAAGCAGAGTTCAAGATTTATTTATTTATTTAAATGTTTATGTCCTTCCCGTGCTAAGAAGTATGCCAACAAGACTAAATGAATACACACCAACAAGACAGTTAAATCATTTAGCACAGCTCATAATATGCAGACTAGATGTAACACTGTGATTTCGATCAACAATTTCACCACAGTGAGTACAGTAGGAAAACAAAAAGTGCATCTGTAGATCTAGTGATTGCAAACCTGAAGCATGGGAGGGGTGAGGTTCAAAACATAAGTTTCTGTAAGTCCTTTTAAATGCTATAATTATTAATTTTAACTAGTTTATTACTTGCCTGTAGTATCCCCCCTTAAATGCAAGTTTACAATGTTTCTTGTCAGTTGCACTTTTTTGAAAATTGTCTACATTTACAGCTTTCTATTAAGTTTCATAAATTATAATTTTAAAACAGATATTTTAATTTTTAAATTGATAAAGAATATCTCAAATAAAACAATTAATTTGAATATCTGAAACAAAGTTATGATGTTGAACACAGATGTGTTATCCAGCAGTTCTCAACCTGTTGTTCATAACCAAAGAAAGCTATAGCTATAGCTACTGGTCTGCCAAGATGAAAAAATTCAGTTGGTTTTAAATAAACACATTTGAGTATCAGTGTGTTAGACAATCTGGGAATAAAATCTGGAAAAAAGTGAAACCAAAAGAAAGAACATACGGAATGGAAAACCCTTGTATACATTTTAGTAGTTCAGATCATTTATTTTACTTAATTGTTTTATATAACTGATCAGATATGTAAATGTGAAAAAAAAAAAACCTACTAAATCCCAAAATATAACACTAATTAGTCTAAAAATATAAACAAGAACTGACTTACTATATTATTCTGGTCTTTATAGGAGATCTTCAACATTTCCATGGCTTTGATCATACTCAGCATTGCCATCATGATATTTTGGTATACCAGCTTAATAAAGCTTTTCTTGTCCTCATCTGAGTAGCCTGTACCATGGATGATCCGCATTTGTTTAATAAATGTACTCTTACCGGATTCTCCCGTTCCTATGCATAAAAATATATATTAAATACTAACTCGAACAATCTTCAACAGGAAGTCAGTTGAAATGGAGTATAAATATATTTGTGGAAAAATGCAATTAAATAAGTAATAAAATCTTTATCCTAACTGGTATTAAAAATGTGGCTTCAGATAGAAATTATGATGATTATTATAAGAGCACTGCCTGCTTCTGTTGGGTTCAAATCTTAAAGCAATAGAATTACAACACTATAATGAGCTGAAAGTCTGAGTAAATTGATCTACATCCATTATTACAACTTGAGCTGGAACTCTCTAATATTGCCGTTTGTGATACAGTTTTAATACCTATCCTAAAACACTGAGCTATGAGGATATATTTACATGAACCATATTTAGGCCTCAATTTTAAGAGCTTACATGGAGCATAAAAAAGGAAGATAAAATGACAGACTCTAGAATTTAATTTGGAGTACTAAAGTTATATGAAATGGAAACTTCATTATATACTCTGTTTCACAAATTTTGTAACATGCACTGGACATTAATAAAAAATAGCTAATTAAAATTAATATGAAAGTGTCACTGTTTGTAATTTAGATAAAATTACAAAGTCCCAAATATTATAGTGCATATAAGAGTTTATACTTATTTGTAAGAATACTTGTTATGAGGATTTTTATTTTTCAAAAAGGTATGCAATCCACTAACGCCTCTGTGTTCCATTAATATACTTTTAAACAATGGTAGAAAAACAGGTAAATTCATATGTTTTCAATTTACTTCAGATTTCAAAGACCACTCAGATTAAAAAATATTTAGGTCAACACCTATGTAAACAATGCAGTGGATCAATATTCTTTTGTAAGAAAGTTTAATGGCATCATACAATTTGTTATTAGTAGGCCCATGCATTTTGTTGTGGAAATAATACAATATTAAATCTTCATGAGATCTTTATACATCATCGTTCTTCCTTTAAATATAGCTAAACAGTATAATATCAACATAGGTAGAAATGAATATTCATATATATGAAACACATTCATGTACACAGTTACTGACTTGAGGTTTTATAAACATTTTAAAACATATTGAAACTTTCCCATAATTTCCTCAGAAATATGAAAAGAAAATTATATTTGGCAATATCATTTCAAAGTTACTTAAAACAACAGCTACTTCTATGTCTACCATCAAATCTGAAACTGCTTCATAAATCAAGCCATTAATGTTTACTATGCTCAACCAATAATTTAAAGTTGTTTTTGCCTTTATGTTCTTGGCCTAATATTTATGCTGCAATTTACACCCTGCTAAATCTGTTGCTGGAACATTTTTCTTAAAAGAGCAATCTGAGAATGTGAAGGAGATGGGAGGTTGTTTTGCTTCCTCAGCTCTTACACTAATGTCCAACTAATAGTTCTGCAGCCTATGAAGTACACCAGGAAACAAGTAGATGAAAATCCAATAAGCTTTATTTGCTTCATGTAGCTACTGACTTGTTTGTATTTTTCCAGTACTAGTAAGTAACCATGGGTTGCTACACTTGTACCGTTTGTAAGTGTGTTCCCAGTACTAGTAATTAGCCATGGGTTGTTACACTTGTACCATTTGTAAGTGTGTGTCCACTACTAGTAATTAACCATGAGTTGCTACACTTGTACCGTTTGTAAGTGTGTTCCCAGTACTAGTAATTAACCATGGGTTGCTACACTTGTACCATTTGTATGTGTGTTTCCAGTACTAGTAATTAACCATGGGTTGCTACACTTGTACCATTTCTATGTTTCCAGTACTAGTAATTAACCATGGGTTGCTACACTTGTACCGTTTGTAAGTGTGTTTCCAGTACGAGTTATTAACCATGGATTGATGCTTGAAACTTGTACAAGTAATTAACCATGGATACTGCTTGAAACTTGTACTAGTAACTAACCATGGGTTGCTGCTTGAAACTTGTACTAGTAATTAACCATGAGTTGCTGCTTGAAACTTCAGCTCTGCTACAGGAACTCAGGTGGTAGAGCATTATTACATATAGTAGTTTGAAAAAGTTGGCAAACTCCTGTACAATGTTAAAAACGTCATCCAACATCTAAAAGCTCAAACAGGGCAACTGGTGTACTGAACCACCTATATTACACATGGATGAAAATATGTTTATATGTGTGATATTAATATCATAATATCCTACTCTTTCATAACCAATGAAGAATGTTCCTTTAATCAGGTAATTTTTCTAAATCTACCTGCAGGTATTCTGTATGTAGCTAGTGTCTTCCTGGTAAACCAAATGTATGAAAGCCATAACCATACACTAATTAAGGTATTCTGTCTGTAACTAGTGTCTTCCTGGTAAACCAAATGTATGAAAGCCATAACCATACACTAATTAAGGTATTCTGTCTGTAACTAGTGTCTTCCTGGTAAACCAGATGTATGAAATTCATAACCATACACTAATTAAGGTATTCTGTATGTAGCTAGTGTCTTTCTGGTAAACCAGATGTATGAAAGTCATAACCATACACTAATTAAGGTATTCTGTCTGTAACTAGTATCTTCCTGGTAAACCAGATGTATGAAAGTCATAACCATACACTAATTAAGGTATTCTGTATGTAGCTAGTGTCTTTCTATTAAACCAGATGTATGAAAGTCATAACCATACACTAATTAAGGTATTCTGTATGTAGCTAGTGTCTTTCTATTAAATCAGATGTTTGAAAGTCATAACCATACATAATTAAGGTATTCTGCCTGTAACTAGTGTCTTCCTGGTAAACCAGATGTATGAAGCTAGTGTCCTCCTGGTAAACCAGATGTATGAAAGTCATACCCATACACTAATTAAGGTATTCTTTATGTAGCTAGTGTCTTCCTGGTAAACCAGATGTATGAAGCTAGTGTCCTCCTGGTAAACCAGATGTATGAAAGTCATACCCATACACTAATTAAGGTATTCTTTATGTAGCTAGTGTCTTCCTGGTAAACTTAAC